AGGTTGGTTTATATGCATCCTCTCTGCAGAGGGAGCAACGTGATTGTCTCCATACGAGTTGCTGCCTGAGAAAACAATACAAAAGCTGTATTATTTAGGCAGTTAACTTAAGTCAGCAGATCTGCAGGGAGGGTGCAGTGACAGCAGAGCAAAACTCCCTGGCTCCTTAGCAGCATGAGGGGACAATTTTCACAGTGCTCACTATATTGAAAAGTGTCAGCAACAGAACAAGGTAGCAGTGCCAGGAGATTTATCAACCCGCTAGAGCAAGCAATCAGCGGCTTCACAGATGCAAGTATGAGGTTCTTTGCAGCAAAATCTTATATGTCAACAAATGCACAGCCAAAATTTACCAAGGATGTTGCATCATGAAGTGTAGTTTAGGACATGTTAAGAGACACCCATAAGCAAGTGACTTAAATTTGCAGGAGGACCTGCCCGAGTGTCTCAAGAACCATCAAGACAGCCATGGCCACCCTTGCTGCTCCTGCTCATCCCAGCTCACGAACTGCTGCACAGACTGTGCTGCATGCTGTGCCACGGGCCAGCAGGCCACATCTAGCCACCAGGTCCTGCCCTCCTATTTCTTCTTTTCTGCTGAAATACAAGGCTCTTCATTTTACCTTTAGCAATAAAAACAGCTCTGCTGAAACAGCTTAAAAACATGAATGTAGTGCAGTGTCTATCTTTGCTACAGCAACATCCATTGCGGCTGGCTGGAATCTTCACATTCCTGAGAATAAAAGGTAAGATGACAAGGCTTACAAGAGCCTGGGTATCAGAGCTGAAGTAGCCCAAGGCAAGGCAGGCCTGGCAAACATAGGAGATATAGTGAACTGCCCCCTGCACAGACCTGCTCTGTACAAGAGTTGCTCACTCCCTGTGCCTCACAGTAGGTTTTGGCACTGGCCTGGTTCGCTGGGGACGCTGCTCTTCATTCCCACAGTGGCAGCACACTGACACCTAAGGACGCTGCTGTTCTGAGGCAGCTGCTCGTGCAGAGCTGTAAGCAGATGCCTTTGCTGGCAACAGCCCTGGGAAGTTTTACAGTAAAATCACTCCAGGTGATTACACACGATAATGAAGCACATAATAAACAAGCACACTTGTTCAGGTGCTTGCACTGGAGCCGTTCAAGTAACCAGTGGTATCCAGCAGGCAGGTACACACACTGCAGCACGCTTAGGCCTTGGTTTTCTGTAATTTTCATGCTGCCTTTATCAGTCTGTACATTGCCCAAAGCTTTCTGTACCTGCAGCTTATTAGGGTAGTTCAAATAGTGATGTCCAGGACACATCTGGACCACGTTCTTCTTGCTCAGAACTTGCAAAGTCCCTGGATGAAATATCTCATATTGCTGCAGGAGTTTGTTCTCCTGTGCGCTCTGTAGGGAGCTGAGGCTGCCTTTGGACACACTAACAGATACTTATCCATATGTAGGGTCACATGTACCACATACACATACATAGGGTCACATATACCACAAACAGTGGTCTTCCAAATTTGTGGCTCTTAATAATGCTGAAGAAAGCCATAGCTTGGAGAGATACTTTGATCTGGATTGTAAATTTGATCTTAGTTTTGAAATAAATGGCTACCACACCCAGTATGTCTTGAAAAAAGCAAGGCACAGCGAGCTGTTTAAAGTATACACCATGGCCCTATTCAAGGTCTTTCCTTGCTTTGTTTGGCTGGTGTTACAGGTTTTACATAGTTCTGTTCGACTTGATATAATTTTTCCTTCCTCTTCACACAGATGTTCTGCCTATAACACAATAAATCATTTTTTCTTCTTACTTGAGAAAAAACAAAACTCTCCCTACCTAAAGCAAGGCATTCTGGCCTTAAAACAGTGGCTCTGCAGCAAAGACAACACCATGCAGAGCTTGCTCACCACACAGCAGGTAAGATGACTCCCAGCTTGGAAAATGGTGCAGCATAGAACCCATCTGCAGGGTGAAAGGCTGAATGCAGCACTGGCAGAGCACATTTGCTGAAAAAAATCACATTCTTGACGTTTTCTGCATACATTTTTACCCAAGAAATTTCTACCTAGATACAGTATCAAGTTTTCAAGGAGGTCTAGTTTTGTGATCTGTTTTCCAGGAATGTTGATAAAGCACAAGGAAGTCGGAGAGGAAACCAGCAGCCCAAACAAATTAGAAATTAGAATTCTCCTGACTCCCAGTGCTCCACTTTCAACTTTCACACCATCTCATCTTCTCCATGCAATTCAGCTTTTGTTTTCAGCTTCTAGTGTTTAAAAGACAAATGGAGGGGAAAGTTGGGACACTGCATCCAAAAGCTCTTTTATGCAAGAGATATCTGTGAAAACGCCAGAACACAGATGAAGTTCCTAATGAACTCTTCCTTAGTAAGAATTTATAGTGCCCTTAGTATGACAGTAGCTACAGAAGTTGGTATGTCAGTTCTGCATCAATCACGCTTTGTTTTCAGGCAGGCTCTAATATAGCACTTTCAGAAATGCAAACTCAGCGGTTTGTGCCTGCACTGTGTGCACATACTTCTGCTTGAGCTACTTCACMTAAAGATGTGAGCTATTTTTTATTAGTAATTGTACTTGAAATGAAAGACTTGAGAAAGACCATTAAAAGTATACCAACCTTAATCTCACCTCTAGTACAGAACCACACACCAGAAAAATTCCTGGTAGCCCCAGGAAGTCAAATTCAAGGTCTTGAGCGTTATCTTACAGGAAAACAAGGACCAGGCTGAGCCGAGCATAGATAGTCGGCTTTGCRGGCCTGAGGCACAACAGAAGTGTACTTCTGAGCTGAGCACAGTGCACAGTGGACATGCCTTCTAAAAAACATAGCTCATCTCTGGCACAGAGACCAGTTCCAAACTGCAGCTGCCTCTGCCACACGGCACAAGAGCACATGGGGCAGCAGCCCCCACATCCCACATAGTCACAGAAACTCAAGCTGCGCCCCATCTTTTGTCTCAGCTGCACTCAAGATCTTTGCAACGGAGGCACACAGGCAACAGGCATTCCTCGGTACAAGCACAGCTTGAGCCACTCTACTCAGTGTGTTCCCTCCCATTCTTATCTTGAACCTTCGCAGTGTTTCTCTGGAAGGAAAATCTTACACCCACCCCAGCCCTAGTTAGATTTCTCTAGACTTAAGGTGGCTTAAGTGACATTCTGTACCAAGCTCTTTAAGGAGGATAGATGGAAGAACAAAATCTGTTCAACCAGATCTGGATCCCTCTTTGATCTTTCTTGCTACATTTTCTCCCTTACCTTACACCACCTCTCCTTTGCTAATTTTCATCCTAGCGGGACTGTATGTAACCAAAGTAAAAGGACTGCTCGATATGCTTCACACTAGTGAAAACAGCTTTGTAATCTAGCATATGAGGTATCATTCACAAAGCACATTCTACTGCAGTAGGAAAAATACACAGAAAGCATAGGAAAAAAAAATCTCAAAGAAGTCACCTGTAAGGAGTCCCCTTCTCTGCACTCGCACAAAAGCGTTCCTACAACTTTCCTTACTGCTGAAATGGAGAGTGTAATCTTTCATCACTGACCGGTGCTTGGAAGTTAAGTAATTTCTTTTTTTTCTTGCCTGTTTTTCTGCTAATGACATGGGATTTCAGGATCTGAATAAAACAGCAAATTGTTATTAGTTATAGAGGAATGACTGAATATTGCCTCTTATATAAAGCATACTACCTCTACCGATGGATGTGCTTCATTGGTACTAACCTGTAAGGGAGGGCCGACTTGTACTGGCATAGGAGAGTCTAATTTAGTGGTACCCTGTCACTGACCCAGCCTTTGGCAACGTGCATGAGACACCTGACACTTTGTACTGAACAATTTTGGAAGCTGGTATTTCTYAACAACCAGGTGGCCAATATTTTTTGAGGTGCAAAGCAGTGGTACTAGATTTAAACTCTAAGTATATRAGGTCCTAGACAATCTCTTCTACAAATATACAAGCATCAAGATAACTGTCTCACTTTGCTCTCATGTCAGATTAGCTAAAAAGCTCAAGTGCAGTGAGGGATATCTCAACACGCAGAAAAATAACTGGCATCTCCATATCTGCTTAAGTGCAGTAATGGATATAGAAACACATGGAAAAAAAACTAACTGGTCTCGTCATACCTGTAATCAAACCAGAGCTACAGATTGTTCCATGAATGAATCAAAATGAGGATTTCAATATCTTAAGAATTTCTATGATTTAAATCACATAATTGACAATTCTAAGGAGGAAATGCTATTCTCGAGTCTAAATGAACAGACATTTGATGAAGATGGGGAAGTCTAACAGATAAGATCTCTCCCTCTAAAAGTTCACAACAATGTCTCAAGAGGACGACAACAAGGGAGGAGCCCTTGTATTTTATCGTAAGTTCAAAGAAGAAAAGGAGTCTTCTATATATTGCACATACTTTACAAGTAACAAGAAAAACAGCTATCCAGAAGGGCCAAAATGCAGAAAGCTTGCTTACTCTATTAGTATTCCCTGTATAAATATTTTCCTGTTATATCTTACATACAAGCATTTCATATTGAAATATGAAATTCAAACAGCAAATCAAGGTAAATGGACTGTAAGAGGCAGAACCGAAAGAGCTGGCTGAYATTTTATTGTAAGTGAATTTTATCTTTTACAGTTTACTGTAACTGGAGGTAGCTGTAATATTTAGCAAATTTCTCCCAGTGGTTTGAAATAAGTCATCCAGGAACATTAGGACAGAATGCTGTAACAAAAATTAGAATCAGTTCTTTAAAGTTAAGCCTAAAATAACACACAAATGAAGCAAAAAATAAATCACAGTAGGTTACATGATTGTCAGTATAGTATAGTGCAAATCTTTCTGGAGGAAGGACTGGTTATATGTTGTCAAAGTGGTAAAGCTACCTCCACAAAATAGTAACATACTCTATGCCTGAAATGACCTGAGAAGAGGTACAAGATTCAGAGATATGTTATTACAACTATGCAGTTCATATTATTTCTCATTTAATTCATCAAAATCATGTTGAAGGGAATTACCTGGCAAAAGAGTCTGTAATTTAGTWCACAAAAGTACATTTCTGATCCTGCAGGCAGTAGCTTCATTCCATATAATTATATGAGAACTGCCATTGTCAGTACTTGGGCCTTACCCAAGTCTCTCAGCCTCATTTTCAGACCTGTTAAATTCATCCTCGAGTAGTTCCTATGTGGGAGTAATAGAAGCTCCCAGCAACTCCAAGTTAAAGTATTTTTACAATTACACTAAACTGTTATTTGGTTCATTCAATGCAGAAATACTCACTTAAGTGTAACTGGAAAGAAATGCTAATGATCAGATAGGACTTTGCTAAGACGTATTTTCAAAATTATGGAGTAGTGCACTTTCCTTAAGAGTCTAGATTTGCACAAGAGAAAATTGTCTGTGTAATATAAATGTTACTTTTTTTTTTCCCCCTTCAATAAAACAGAAAATGTATTTAAAATAAATCCTGCAACACGCTTTTTTATCTTCCCTCAAGTTTTGTTCACAGGATGGATATCCCAAAATACAGATACTGCTATAAATTGCAACACTTAATATATCTGCATAAATCATCATACACTGCAAGATCTCTCAAACAGATGCTGAAGAACAAACTAGGGGAAAAAAAAACAAAACAAGATGATTATAGGCTTTGTATTTCCTAAAATTGGTGCAATTTCTTGACAGGTGCTTAACTTTCAGGATCAATTAATGAACATATTTAGGCACATACTTAATTCAAATGCTACACGTAATTTTGCTGGATAGGTTAAGATTCCCTAAAGGCTCTAAGATAAGCCTGTCCCAATGCCCTTAAGTGAGCAAGCCTAAGGAATTGTGCACCTGGCAGTACAGAGCCCACTTTGGGAAATGAAAGACACCTGATAGTAATTCACCTCACTCTCAACCTACCCTATTATAAACAAAAAGCTTCTGAAACAAAAGGTTATGATAAAGTTATAGGCAAGTCTCACTCATCACGYGCACATGACGGTCCCTCTAAAGTCAACAGGTAGTATCCAAATCTTGAGATCTAATTCTGCGTGCTAGCATTTGATCTCTATTAATATACTGAATGCATACAATAGAAGTGACTTTAAAATTGGAACATACTTCTTGGCTCCAGAACTGTGAAACTCCTCCCTAATACACAAAATGTATTAGTTCAGGTTTTCTTTTTCTTAGCGAAAACTCAAATATAACATTCAATATAAATTTATGTATTTTACATATAGAATTGATTTATATAATATTTGAAACTTTATAAACTTGTACTAAAGTAGTCAATAAAACAATCACTTTTAAAATATTTACATTCTATACATTATTTCTCCCTAATTATAGTTATTAAATAATCCTCTGTGGCTTCCTTAATTTTAAGAAAATCTTTTAAGAACTACAAACTAGTTCTGAATTACTTTCAAATGGCTCTTTACTTAAAGAGAATTTTAGCAAAATTGTACTACCAAAGTGACATGTTATCTCTATGTTTATAGGTGTGTATGTATATCCATACTTCATAATACAATCCTGTTTTCTACAACGAAGAGAAGATCTAAGCAAGAAAATGGCACAGAATGGATGGACACATTATATTCCCAGCTCTTATATTTGTTTATGTCATTTGGCTTTTAGAATATCCAAATCTTAGCAATTCAGGGTATTCTTCCAGTACTTTCAAGGAATCACAGATTCAATATTTATTTAGATTTTTGTGTCATCATCTTTTGGCATGTTATTTCCTGAAGGTGTTTCACAGAGACTATCTCCATCTGTGCTGAGCTCATCATCGTCATCATCGTCATCATCAAAATCAGTCAACACTTTACTTGGTGATATCTTCCGTCTAATAAAACACAATAAAACACAGTATTAAAATTCAACCTCTACATGTGGAATAATTATGCAAAGCTCTAATTTTAACAGGTAGCATCTGCATTTTTAAAGGAAATGAAAGAAACTTGTGCTCCAACAGTGCCAAATTATCTTAGGTTATATCTTATATAATACATATATTCATATGAATATATATATATGATATATATGATTCAGCTTCATTCTTTCATTCATTTTTATATATATATATCTATATATGAAAGAATGAAGCTGAATCATTTATATCTTCAAGAGCCTCTATCTAAGGCCACAGTCAAAGGAAACTGTAAAGTTATCACCCTGACATGTTCCAAGTTAGCCAAGAAAGCTAAATACAAAGCAGCTGTTCCTCTCAGTTTTTAGCAGGAAAAAATGCTGTGTCTCATTACTTCTTTCCATTTTCTACCCCTGCCTCACTGAATTTCTCAGCAGAGATCTTGAAAAGAATGCTTGGGCAACCAGAGCACCCATGAAGCGGTTGGAGARTATTTGTAGAGAAAGATATTGCAGGAATTTCACAGCTCTGCCTCTGAAAATCTGTCTGCTTATGACAAACTTGAAGCTTTTCGGAGTAAGTCTCTGGCTCACAGCCCATAGGAGCAAGAATGTTCAAGTATTTGATAGGCAACTGTGAAGCCTAACAAGTCAGCCTACCTTAATTCCTTTTTTGCAGCATTAAGCTGTCCTTGCAATTGTTCATTCATGTCCAGTTGTTCTTCCAGTTCTCTCTGGAGTTTCTTTTTGGCACTTTCCAGTCTGTCTATTTCCTCTTCAGCTTCTTCAACTTGACGTTTCATTGCTTTCAAACGCAAACTCAACTGAAATATTTACATGTCAGCTGATTAGAGGACTATTTTAATAAAGGAATTTTATTCTTCCAGCATCTATGAGAGGGAGAATAAAGACAGAACTTTGCCAGTGTCATGACACTGCAAAACTGCTTCAGAAGCATTTAGAAGTCAGGTATTACGTGATGGAGAGAGCAAGTTATCAATAATGGAAAACTTTCTGGAACTACTATTGTGTCCTAGTAGCAACTTTACCAGACAGAGACTACAAAATACATTTAAAATTGAAACAAAAAACCCCACCATACATAGTATTTTAAAAGATTGTTCACATAACAGGCATTATGAAACAACACTATTCATTCTCTAGTCAGAATATTAACTACTTGACTTACCTATMGAAACAATCCATGTTTTAAGCAAARAATCAATAAAGATCCCCAAATGGCACAGCATACTGCTATGAAAATGCTAATATATGCCTAACATTTATAGTCTATAGTTAATAACTATACATGACTTCTTTTTTGAAACAATATTTTATAGCAAGATATAAATACATACATCAATAAACAATATATTCTATTTTCTTTTTGTTTTATTTGTTTTAAAAAAATATAGTATTTATGCAAAGTGCTTCATTTTCAAAACTTTGAATAACATTCATTCCTAGCAGAGAAATTTGATGACAATGGGAATAAAGAATCTCATTAAATCCACGTTCTTAAATAAAAACAGTATCTATATTCTAAAATAAACAATGATTTTATGCTAGTAAGATTAATATCAGGTATTTGCATATTAGTCTTTCTGTCTACCTGGTCCTTTTGATCAGTCAATGAGAGATGTTCATCATCGACTTGCAACATTAACTCCTTCACTTTTCTCTCAAGTCTGCGGTTACTTAGTTGGAAATTAGCTCTATCCCTGAAACAAAACAAAACAAACAGGCTTGTAAAAAGGAGGAACCAAGATAATTCCAGTCCTTCCAAGTAAATTTCTKAACAGTATTTCAAGTTTTAAATAAATACTAATAGCTTCTGCTTTATTTACAGATTCCATGCATCACATGCTAGAGCTTTGTTCAAAATCATGTACTGGTAAGGAGAATGCCTTTTTGTCTTCAGAGATAGTTTCAGATAAACAATACATTTTTTCATGTGTAAACCATGAATAAGCAAATTGGATCTTTAAACTACAGTTAATATTTCTAAGGCTCTTACTGATGGCCAGAAAAAATAATGAGGTACATGACCATGTTACATTGCTGCCCGGTTTTCAAAACATAAGTATGAATTCAAATGTATTTAAAATGTACAAATAACTTACTCTATGAAACAACAGCCATATTAATTCAGTGCTTCTCAAAATAAAAAAAAGAATTGGCCTAAAAACTTAGCACATTAGGTGGACYGCAAAAGGTCACATTAACATAAACTCAAATATTTTCTCTTAAGATGGCTAGTTTTACCTCTCTTCATTTTCAAGCCGTTCCTCTAGCTCTGTAATCCTTGCTTCCATTTGTGCAACAAGTCCCTCCTTACTGGATCGGTAAGAACCTTCCAGATGAAGGATTCGGCTCTTCAAGTCCTTGTTCTAGAGTCAGAACATACATGTTGACCATATACACTCTTATGTTACCGAATATCACCTTAAGGCAAAATAAATTTATTCAGAAAAACACAAGGTGATAGGAATGTATCCTGGACAGGGACTTGTATATTGCTTTTACTCTCACTTGCCTGTTCTTTGTTTGTTTTTTAAGTATGCAATGCTACTCCAACTAGGTAAGCAGTTTGAAAAAGAGGTTGTCTTTTTAAGAAGTATAACTTGTAAAAAGAAGTTTTTTTGTTTGTTTGTTTGTTTTCCCTCTTCTAAGATTAGCAGTTTAGGAGGCTAGACAAGATAGGTTTTCAACAGGGACCTTAAATAAGTTTCGGGGGGGGGGGAAAGACAAAAGAGTTACATGAAGAACAAAAAACGAGGTTTTGATGTTACATAACTTAAAACAAATATTTAAGATTTCTGACACTGTAAAAAAGAAACAATAACAGAAAAGTCAGAGCTAAAATAGAAGGATGTATATGAAATATGCCAGTAGGTGGCATTCTTTCTTCTCAAACAATTAAGACAGAATTCCACTTAAGTCTGGTTACTCGTTAAGCCTGGTCTCATTTTTTTCTGAAAAAAATCGTTATCTATGTGTCCTTTACAATCTTCCCCCCCGCCCCCCCGCCTTGAGACTGTCAGGAAGACTAAGATAGCTGTAGAAGAGAAAAACTACAAAAAGCTTGGAAGTATTTAGCTTACTTTCCATAAAAAAAATTGAAACTTAGGAATCGCATTTCTTTCTAAGCAACAGAGAGTAACAATTCTCCATCAAATCTGTATCTTTTCTTCAAAAGGTATGTTGCTTTTTCATTTGTTTATTTCTACAGAAAAAAATGTTCAACAAAAATTGGAATTGCTGAAATAGTGCTCTGCCTTCAAGCATATTCTTAAATACTAAGAGTTTSAAAGGTAGTTCCTCCAGAAGAGGTCAGTGAGTTTGCAGCTAAACTAGCTAAATATCTTTGATGGTTTTCAGTCTTTCCCCTGTATTTGTCTCTCTAAAGTTTCTGTATTATAGAATGTTTTAATCCACTAACAAGCATACAAACTTAACTGTTACATTCCTTAAAATTAAGGTCTTCGATTCTCTAAAGTAGAGACAGAACTTGTGCAGCAGAGATGCCTGTACTTGCTACTTCACAAATGTTTACTAGATGGTATAAACAGGTATATGCACAGCTTGAGGGTTTTTTTTATATAAAATATACAAGCTGTAGTAAATCTCTAGCTAAAAAGGAGAAAGAAAAAATATTCAGCAGTAGTAATTTAAGGGTCTAATATTGTAAAAATAATTTTAAGTATAAATGTCAAGATACTTATTTTGTTAATCTATTCTTAATATAAGATATACTTCAGGACAGTCTGGTGGGACAGTGTCCAAATACTCTAGTCTGAATGCTCTAGCTAAACTGCATCTTGTATATGTAATGGTATAGTAGCAATAATTACCTGTCTTTCCAATGAAATTTTGTCACACTCCAAATCTTGCTTTGCAGCTCTTTCCTGAAGTAGCTCGGTTCTCATTTGTTCAATCTATCACATAAAGGAAAAGACAGAAATACTAAGAAAATATTTAAATTATATCTATCCATATGATATTGTGTATGTGTAGCAAGGAACCGACCTCTAGAACATCACATCAGTCTTCAAACACATTATAGAGATTTTTCTTCACACTTGAGTCTGAAGCTCTAAACTGGCCCGTTACCTTTAAGCTGCTGGCTAATCTAGTTTCACTTTATTAAGCACAAAGTGCTATCTACAGAAAAGTGCCTATAACTTCATGAGAGACTCTGCAGATAATTTATTTTGTTCTGGTATTCACAAGGCTAGTAAAACTATTTTCCAGTAGGCTCTGATGTATGCTAGCTACTAAGATTTTGTTCCATATAACTGGTCAATGTCACGTCTGTGACACTGTGAGAGCACCAACTTCTGGATATTTTTTTGTTTTGCTTTTGTACCTGCTGTTTTCAATCCTTTGCTACAGTTTCTGTAAATATTTCAGCTGCATCTTCAATATCAAAAAGAAAAAAAATCTTCATGAATAAGATGTTAAAAAAACTGATCAATACAGAATCTACATAAGAACACAGAATTTCTGTTAATCTCAGTATTTGTTTTGACTGAGGGGGAAAAAAAACGTGTTCTGAAGATCAAAGAGAAACTCTAGACTGCCTAACAACTGTTGCTGCAAGCAAAACTGCAAGCAGCTGTTGCTCCTGGGCTAAGGGAAAGTTAGCGATGCCCAAGTACATTTCCTTTATTCCTACTGAAATTGCCCTCAAGTTTTTACAAATGCCTCTGCAGACACAGCTGATGTTATCACAGCATTTTTGGTACTCTCTACACAAGGTTTATTGTGATGAGCATCACCGGTRAATGCCCTTGTCAACCACTGTACCTGCAAAGTGATTGACAGAAGAGTGGCCACTACACTGTTCTACCTTACAGCCGTTACTGATAAACTTGCATAAACACATTTGCAGTTAAACAGTCCTAAGTTAAAAATTTATCTCATTAAGGGTCTTTTTCAAAAGCTATTGGGAGTTACAAAGTTTT